AGGGGGGGCCCTGGGAGTGAGGGGGGGCCCTGGGAGCGAGGGGGGGCCCTGGGAGCCGGGGTGGGACTGCTGTGTTTCGTGATGAACCCCTCAGGACTGAATCCGAAACAGATGCACAACGCTGATGAAACAGACGGAGCGTGGTCCACGCCCTGAGGGAGGAGGCCGCCTGTTTGGGGATCACTCGCCAGCCCCTCTGATCAGCGAGCTTGTTCTTTCCTCTCGTTGCCGTCACTGTTCGCGCTCCTGGCTGTGGTCACTGTCAGAGCTGTGGCACTGCCTTTGGCTTGTCTTCCTTTAAGTTGTGGGGGATCTCACACGGCGGAGTCGGGGGACGTACCAGGAGCCCTTTTCCCGTCACCCAGTTCAGAGATTGCACAATCAGGCCCTCGTGTGTCGCTGGGTCTGTGTTGTGTGAAGAGCTTTTTATTGTTGTGTTAATCCTCACGAGGATGTTTTTTCGGTTGATTTTTAGAGAAAGTGGGAGGGGGGAGGGGAGAGAGAGAGGGAGAGACATCAGTGTGTAGAGAGACATGTCGATTGTTTGCCTCCGGCACTTGCCCCGACGGGCGGGGATGGAACCTGCAACCCAGGTACATGCCCTTGACCGGAATCGAACCTGAGTCCCTTCCGCGTGCAGGCCGACGCTCCAACCACTGAGCACACCGGCCAGGGCAGCATAAGAACTCCTTTTTGGCACCTGCTGGGCGCCAGGCATGATTCTAAGCCGCGAGGGGGCAGCTGTGCTGGCTGGTCGGCTAAGTGCCTCCTTCCAGCACTTCTCTTCTCGGGCAGCGTCCGTGGGCAGACTGACCGGCGACTGTGGTGCTGGAGGCGACCTGGAGAAGAGGCGGTGGAGTGGGGAGCGCAGGCGGGCGTGACCAGGCGGCCTCCCTGAGGGGCGAGCTGTGAGCAGAGATCAGGAGGGAGGGAGGAGTCCACAGGGGAGGAGTCCCCGGGCCGGGCCGGGGGCCTGGTCAGGGTTGTTGATGCCCAGAAAGGCCATGTGGCCGAGCAGGGCCAGGGAGGGGCAGGGGGAGAGACGGGGTGCGGGATCCCAGGCACAGGGCGCGTCACAGGCCGCTGTAAGGGCTGGAAACGGAGCCGTGGCGCCAGTGATGGGAGGGGTTTGCGCAGAAGCAGGGAGGCCGTGGGCCTGCGGTGGTCAGCTGAGAGCTGGGCCAGGGCTGGGGTGGGGCGGGCAGGGGAGGGGCCCCGAGGGTGGAGTCTGGATGCATTCTAAGGTGAGCCTCCCTCATGGTGACATTATTATCATTACTTCACCCTGAAGTATCTCTTGGAATTGACTTACATCTGAGAAAAGAGTTCTTTGGATTCCAGCGTCAAATGCCACGCATCTGCGTTTGAGTCCTGGGAGGAGTGTGGGCGATTTTGTAGAATGGGGACCCAGTTTGGGGGTGTGGACGGGGTGTGCTCTGACATCCCTTCCGTGGGGGTCAGGGCAGCGGGAGCCAGCGGACAGCCCGCTGCGCATGGGCCGCTCGTGGGCACATCGCTCCACTTCTGAGGCCACGTGGTCTCCTGGGACACTGGCGCCTTCCACTCTCATCACGTGGCCCTTTATTGTTCTCACGTGGCCTCCGTCGGGGGCGTGGCAGGGCCACCGGTGCGGGTGGGCCCACGG